GTGTTTCCCGCCAGGATCTTGGTTTCCCGCCATGGAAAGGGGGCGTTCGTCCCTCAGGGTTGGACCCAATCTTCTTGTGGCAGCCTGATCCCTGTGGTAGGGGCCATAGGACGTACGTCCCCTGGTCCTTGGGTCCTGGTGCTGGCTGACGATGGACTACGTACGTCCCCTGGACCTTAGGCCTTGATACTGGGGTATGCTGGACTACGTACGTCTCCTGGCCCTCGGACCTTGATACTGGGGTATGCTGGAATACGTGCGTCCCTTGGCCCTTGGGCCCTGATGCTGGCTGATGATGGACCACGTACATCTCCAACCCCTTGGTGCTCGACCTTCCTCTTGGGCCTTTAGCAAGACGCTCATAGGTGGTCCTTAAGGGTTGATGGGTCGGCCCTTATTGGGCCATTAACCCAACACAAGTCCCCCACTTCTAATGTTCCGAGCGTGCGCGGGACATAAAGAAGTAATTAGTTTCCGCCGAACTTCTTTGAGCCATTATCCCCCTTCCCCCGTAGTGACGGTTGCTTCCCCGTCGTTGTTCACGGGGCTCTAGGCGACAGCTATCCTGGCCGGTTCAACTTTCGATGTAAAAGTAATCATTTCGCACCTTCCTGTCTCAACGTGACACGCGTCCCCGGGTACGCTCCTCACCACCTGTCACCCGTGGGTTGGTCATCGAAAAGGCACCTCCCCTCTATAAATACTGGGATCGCAGGCAGGATTAGGGTTTTCCATCCTCTACTTCCTTCTAATCTCCCAGTGTTTTCCAGCGTCCCTGGTTTCCGCGTTCGTCCCTGCTTCAAGGTTCCGCAAGGTAATTCCCTTCTCCTAATACCCTTTCTTTTCTTCTCGCAATTCTTCCCATGGCATGTTCCATGGAGATCTCCTCCGACTCGGATACTGGTTCTGGTTCTTCTACTAGTTCTTCTGCCGGTTCCTCTTCTGTGGCGAGCTCTAGGTCCCGTTCTTCGGAGGGAACAAGTAGTTCTGGCCGTTCCAGCGCCTCTTCAGTGGCGGTCATCGTGGCGGCCGATGAGGCCGCGGTCACAAATGCAGGGGGATGCTGATATGGACGCCGTTCCTGAAAATGCCGTAGCGGTGGTACCGCGATCCGATGCGGAGGTGGGGCACTCGGCTTATTATGATTCCGGCGAAGAGGCCGAAGAGGGGGACGACCTCCAGGTGTACCAGCTCGGCGTCCCCATGGATCAACATCGGCACATCGTGCTTATCCCCAATGTGGCCGTGCATGAGAAGATTTTCTCCAGGAGGGCCCTCTAAACCACCAACAGTGGGAGAGCCGACATGAAATGATAGATGTGCAGCGCATTCTGTAAGGCTAACAACGCATTCTCTAACAGGAATAGCAAAGACCCCTTCTTCCTCATCCTACTTTGAGTCGTGAGCCCGTTCCTTTCTAACTTTCTCCTAGGTTTAGTCCGATGAATTCGTGGAAGTCTCACCTATCAAGGCGTGCGAGCTATCCCGATTCTTCCAACGGAGGATAATTTTGAACTAATCAGTCTCATCCGTGTAATAATTAGGAATTCCTCTTCCAACTCGTCCCAGAATGGGCGTTATGGCATTGGCCTGGTGTGAAGTGTACCGGCCCAATAGAAAGGAACGAGGGGAAGAATCGACGAGGAAATGTTAGCGATAATAGAAGGAGTCCAAATGCTAGCCGGGGTCGAAGGAGCTAAAGATCTCGCAGGAGTGTTCGAGAAAGATCTCCATTTGTATATGCATTTTCCAGCTTTTTACTTTTATTAGAATTTAAGTAAACTTTTTTACTTCTAGCATGCAGTACCCGAGTCTTGCCCATTTAAGGAATATGGAGGAGGTATGTGTCCTCTCGGTCGCCTTGACCAACAATCACAGATCAGCCATCTGACTGCATTTTCCAACTGAAGGAACTGCAAACTATTCTCCCTTCGCTATTTCACTACAGCCTCCGGGGTGCAGACAACCTCTTCAAGAGACGTCCGGGGATGGTGATGGTGCACATGGACTCCATAAAAGCCGGGCTGCGTTTCCCACTTCATCCGTTGTATCTTGATTTTTTCGACTTTTACAGTGTTGTTCCGGCTCAATTCATGCCGAACTCCTACCTCACGATGATGGTGAGGTGAACGATGATGGTGAGGTGAATGGTGATGATAAGAAGTGTGATGCGATGTAGATGTATACGTGCGATGCGATGCAGATGATCGATGCGACCTACTTCTTGATTGATCCGTTTTTTGATTTTTTTTCAACTCGGCAAATCCAGCTTGCATCATCGCCAGCAATTCTTCGTACTTCGTATCGATCTTCGCACCTGATTCCTGCTGACCTCACTCGACGTTCCGTTCGATTTCTGTCATCCTCCCTTCCATTTTCTTCCTCGTGCCAACCATTCACAACTACAACCAAGCTCTGATATCAATGATAGAATCCTCCAGATTAGCTGTAAACTTACAGAGAAATTAACCAGACCAATTTGTGAATTTTATTGAAGATGAATAGAATCTGTAACAACGAATCAACGATAGAGAGTGAGTATGGCCGAAGCCCCCAAATGAGCCAAAACCCCCAAAAGAAAGAGATTAGCTCTCGATCTTCCCAAGTCCCAAATGACAAAGTCTAAAACAGCCTACTAAACCCTTCCCCGCTATCTTCTATTTATACTAAACTTATACACTTTATTCTTATTAATACTCTCTAATAGGCCAGGTCCTTTATTCTTAGTATCTAATAGGTCGGGTCCCTAACAAGACACGATAAATTCGTTCAGCTTGTAGTGAGGCTTGTGCCATCTACCCACACACCAGGGATCGAATCCCACGGCCACGGTGCGCTGATTTTGCTCATGTTTCTAGGTCTTTACCCATTTTTTGGTTTTAACAGTCCCCGTTACACTTCGGATCAAGTCGAGTCACTGGGTAATTGACGAGCACTTTGTCACGGTGCGTCAAAATAATTTCAATACTAAACACTTATACGTAGTATAACGTAGTAGAGTTCGTATCCACAGGGAAAAGAATAATTCTCTTTTTACAAACTAGTAAATAAAGGGGGGGTTTTGAGATTGAATGATTTAATTTAAAAACTAAGATGAACAACCTATATGTGTTTATTTCAGAGATAAAAGGGACTTGGCATTGCTACTTTTCACTTGTTGATATATTTTAGTCGATCATTGTTATATCTATAACTTATTCCCTCTCGAATACTCAATCGGGGAGTATATCCACTTCATCGAGGGTAGTTATTAACAACAACCGTTCATTAATAACCCTTACTATTAATCAAATATAGAACAACGCCTTATACCGATTTAATAGTAGCATTTAATCTTTCTAACTCCTTGATGAAATCAATTGAGATTGATAACCTCAACACAACGGTTTCGGTTTAACCAACAAAATTAATCCCTCTTAAGTTTATTAACCAGGACCGTGCATTAATAAACCGAAGTTACTTACTTGTGAAACCATCAACGATTAACCATCGGTTCGTTGATCGTTTCTAGTAATAATTAATATATGAAACAAAACTAGTTGATCCTTTAAGTAATGTTCAAAATATTAATATGAAATATGAGTAGGAATTAATTAATATTCAAGGAAGAATATTATTAAAGAAGATGAATCCTACTATAATTAATATCAAGATATTAACTAATTGTCATCTTAGCAACACTCCCCAACATTAATATAGAAGAAGAAAATACCATTCTAACTAATGTCGAGATGTTAACTAATTGTCATCTTAGCAACACTCCCCAACATTAATATAGAGATGGTATTAAGGAAAGAACTATTAATTAATATTCAAGGAAAGAAGTTAAGAAAATAACTCACAACTTTAATAATCAACAAGCTTCAAGAGCAACACCAAGAATGGAAGTTTAGCTCCTCATTTGGAGACTAAACATAGCTAGAAAAATATAAAGAAATGCTATTCTAAACTGAGCTTAAGAGTATGGAAGAAGGGATGATTTTTAGAGAAGAAAAAGTGTGCTATTTATAGGTGTTTTTCAACACCTTTGGTCGGGTACCCGACCGGGTCAAGTACTTACCCGACCGGGTCTGGTCAAAATCAGATAATTCGCCACGTTCTGGTGATCTTCGCACGTCGTTTTGTACCGGGTCACATCTGACCCGACCGGGTCAAGTAGGGGACCCGACCGGGTCCAGTGACTTTCTTGGCAATTTCGTCTGTTAAATCATACCCGACCGGGTGGGGGTTTCTACCCGGTCGGGTTTCACTCCTGGGCAGTCAAATTTCTTGTTTTCTTCTCTTCAAAGTCTTCCTTTCCAACACCACAAATCCTAACTATACTTTACAACTTATAAATAAAGAATAAAATACAATTACAACTGAAATCACATAAATGTTTTCAAACTAAATAAAATGTCAAACAATCAACATAAATCAAACATAAAAACATACAATTATGCACTACTAATTAGTGTGCATCAGTAATTTCGGTGTCAAACCGAATAGTAGCTTAGCCCGAGTCACTGGGTTCCGTTTTGATCCATTCGGTCCGATTCGTACAACATAGTTGTGATGTACGTACAAATTTTTTTATGAAAGATTATACACTGGGCAATGATATATTTATAGAAGTATAAAAAATAAATTTGTTGTAATAATCAAAATGTCAAAATAATACACTTTTTAATTAATACACATGTCCTATTTTGGCAAGATATTAACACCTTTCAATTAATCAGAATATTGTTGTCAATTGGCTTACAATAAAGAACTTTGCTAGAGGTACCCCATTTGGTACACCATTTGTACCCACTTCCTATATTTGTGGTTCACAAAAGCATAACACATTAAATGAATTGCTCTATTTTAATGAAGTACCTTTGTGAACCACAAATATAAGGAGGGGTAAAAAATGGGGTACAGATTGGGGTGACAATAGCATTTGTGTACAATAAAGTCTAGAGTCATACTATAGATGCACCTTTCAATAAATAATAATATCGTTTTAATCATGTCAGGAGCAAGAGCAAGAGTCAGGGGCTACTTCGCAGCCACCAACGGTGTCGATACTAGACAATGATGCAGATTCAGATTTTTATGATGTAGAAGATGTGGAGGAAAATGATGAACATCTCTATAATATACCGGTAAGTAACATGAAATTATAGATAGCTCATTGAGTCTCGCCCTTGGCAAAAAAAATTACTCTCCTTCCTTTGAGAGCCTTTATTCCTTTTCTTCTTCTTCTTCTGATTTTTCTATGTGTTTTCCATTAATTATGGATCCCCATACTATTGAGGTCGGCATCAATTATGAATCTTTTGCTGGCGGATTTAGATGATAACGAAGAAGTATAGCAGGTCGAGAATGTCCAATTGACCAACCATAATATCTTGTGGTGGAGAGGCTCATAATTAAAAATACTCTCCTACTTCAAGGAGGTTTTTCCATGAAGATGGAAATCAAGGAACCGCAACCAAAAAATTATTTTTTTTTGTTTTTCATGAAGGGGACCTTCTACATATCATCGATGACGGTATGTATGAACTCATTGCAAAAGCATTTTGATTTTCAAATCATTAGACCCTCATGAAGATCCAAAGTTAGTTGTCCTTAAAGATGATGATCTCTTATTTCAAATCATGGTCTCAATCTCTGTTATAGATCGAATGTTGTCCTATAAGCGATTTGTAAGTCTGTTGGGAATCTTTTCAAAATGGATGAGAGGTTTTTGAACAATACTTTCTGATTCTTCTTCCGGAGTCGTGTGACTCTGGATATATTCAAACATCTCAAAAAGAGGATGGGGTTGAAGAAGATCAGTAAAGACTTGTCTTCTACTGACTTCAGTTATGAAAGGCTTTGATGTTATGTTTTGTCTACGATACAATTGGGCATGTTGCTAAGTTTTGTGAAAAGGTCGGTCTGCTTTCAAGGGCGTCTCAGACTTCCTAGCATATTAAGACATGGATGTGTGTCGATAGGCGGAACAATGGTCATTGTGGGACAATGTTGGATTGCGACAGAGACTACCACAAAGCACAAAATATGGATATTAAAGCTCTTGGTATGGAAATTTTGGATACTAGGAAAGAAAAGGAATCACAAATGGAAGATAAAGAATATCTCCCATCATGAAAATAACCCGGGAATTTATTCTCATTCCAAAAATTGAGACTTTCCAATGTGAGACAAAGCTGATGTGGAGGATACTAATTCTACTCCAAGAGTTAATGTGGGCCATGTGGACAAGTTGACTTAAAACAATTGTGGAGATGCACTATTTCCATGGATGATATTCCCACACAAGTTTCTACTCATATAGATTCAGATTATTTGACTCCAAAAACCTTGTTTACGGCGGGTTTCGGTACATCCCAGGCCCTCCTTTCGTAATGAGTGTCATCTGTTAGAACTACCGTGGCTTGGGTGACCCATGCACAATTCAAAATATTGTGGCTTTTGAAGCCAATAAGAATCCTGATTTTATATTAGCATTATTGAAACAAAGGTTCGATGGGCACATGTAGATCATTTGAAGAGTAAGATGGGTTTTGTCAGAGTCTTTTGTGTTAATGTTGGGGTGTACGTGGGTATTTGGATCTATTCAAGGATTCTGGAAAATCAAGGATTCTGCCGAGATGTTAAGTAACTCGGGGAACCATGTGGATATTGAGGTTCGTATTCCTGGGGTCATTCCATGGAGGTTTACAAGTTTTTACAGTTTCCCTTGACGGATTAGAAGGCAACTTTCATGGGATTTTTTACGTTTCTTGCATCCCAATTTGCCTCTTCCTTGGCTCATGGTGGTTGGGGGTTTAATGAGGATGTACCACCCTCGAAGAAGCGGGGATTATTTGGCCACCTAAACTTCCTCATGGATAATTTTAACAAGGTTTTGGAGGATTGTTTCTTATGTGATTTAGGTGTTCAAAAACACCTTTTCACCTGGGGAAAAAGCCATGATATTGAAAAGTAAGTTAAGGAATGACTTGATCGAGAAATGGTCAGGGGAAGATTGATGCATGCTTCAATGCAATCCATATGCAGTGGTACGAAACATAGAGGTGGTTACTAGTGATATATCGCTCCTCTATTTTCGTTGACATTGAAAACCCTCAAGTTTAAAACCAAGAGACATCAATTCATGTTTGAAAATACTTGGATGGAGGAGTCGAGTTGTAGAAAAGTTGCTCAATGGTGTTGGAATTTGACACAAGGTAGATAAGTCCCAGATAAGCTTAACTTATGTGTAGTAGAATTAAAATCTTGGGGTAGTGATTTGGGCTAAAGAATAGGCAAAGACATTGAGAGACTTAAAATCCATCTCGGTAACTTGAGAGAGAAGTATGATATCTCTTCTATGCAGGATTCCAAAGCTACAAATGGTAGGATCCATTCTATTTTGCATCAACAACATTTCTTTTGGAGGAAGCGAGCCAAATAGCACTAGCTCAATTAAAGTGATGTAATACCGGGGTTTTCTACCATCAAGATTGTTGAGGAAAATGAAAGCCTTCATTTCTAAACTTAAGGATGTGCCTGGTCTGTGGCTAAGAGATGGCAGCCCTGCCTGATGGATACCTGCAGTGAACCAGACTGGTCAAAACCGAACTGACTAGTGACCAAATCTTTAACAATTATAGCATCGATGAACTTGAGGTTTATGTTCCTTCTACATTTTTCTACTGCTTGGGTCTTTCCAATAACAACTTAAATACATATTAATTTAGCCCAAAAACATTTAAATAAAAAACAAGTTTAATTTCCAACACGCTCACCAGACCATTTATGCATGACGATGTTATGTTGGCAATTTTTCCCTCGCCTTCGAATAAAGCCTTAAGCGCCTATGGTTTCAATCAAGCTGATGTTTCAAATATCATGCTCAATGCTTTTCACTCCCAAATTTCTCTCAATTAAAAAAATGCTACCATTTCCTTGATCTCGATACACTAGGGTTGGGTACGGTTCGGATACTGAACCGGATTACCCAAATCACAAACCGAACCGATATTTCGGTTCATAGAAAATTAGAAACCGAAACTGAACCAATTAATTTCAAGTAGCGATATATCGGTAACAAGTTCGGTTCGGTTTTACACCCAAACCGAATAACCGACCACAATCTATTACTAAGGCTGAAGCTAGCTAGTCATTTGGTAATATTAGTTCGAAGTATGTAAAAAGACTTAAATAGAACTCAGAAGGAAATAGACCGCCTGGTGGATTTGAACACGGCTGGCGATACAAATTAGAAGGGAACGAGGGATACTCTACCACCAATCCATATGAACTTCTGGCCACTTTTGTAGAACTTTAGTTATTATTATTAAAACCTTTGAAGATAATTATTATTAAAAAAACTATTATATTACTTAATAAAAAATATTGGTTAGGTTCGGTTTGAACCGATAACTTTTCGGGTCCTGACTTTCGGATTCCGTTCATGTCGGTTCGGTTTCAGTTTGATCTTTTCATGCTCAATTCGGTTTGTTTCTGTTTGGTTTTAAGTTTTTCGGTTCAAAATGTCAACCCTACAAAAAGGACTCCCTGGAGTTTGTAAGTGGCTTTCGTCACATGTCTCTTTGCAATGTCACTTATAAAGTTATGGTGAAAGTGATCAACCTTCCTTCTATTAGTGGCTAGAGAGAATTCGTAATGAATTATGATGGGAGCCTAAACATGTGGTGTTCGTTGGCTACCATGGGATAAACTTTGTGCACCTAAAAATGAGTGTGGTCTTGAGTTAAAAAATTGAATCTTTTCAAAAAGGCTTTGCTTGCTAAGAAGGGATGGCTGATCACTTATGCAGCCTCCATGGATTCCAGCTTGTTGAGAGCTCGGTACTATCCTAATGAAATGTTTCTTGAAGCTTCTGTTGGTGCTAATCCTAGTGTTTGTTGGAGCCCAGAGTATCAATATTTAGGGAATATGATTAATTGTATTATTTCCTTCCTTCCATGTACAAGAGAGCTGCTATATATATACATGAGGCTAAGTCTAAATAAGAGCCCTTGGCCCAACTATGTACGTACAAATCTAACCAATCTAAAGATTTAAATTACAAGCCCATATAATGTAATCTAATACATCCCCTCAAGTTGGAGCATGGGGATTAAAACTGCCCAACTTGCCGAGAAGAAAATGAAATTGTCTCTGACCGAGAGCCTTGGTGAAAATGTCAGCTAGTTGATCATTGGTAGAAACGTGATGAGCAGTAAGAGTGCCATCCTGAATGGCGTCACGAACATAGTCACAGTCAACCTCAATATGTTTGGTGCGTTCGTGGAACACGGGATTATGTGCGATGTGGAGTGCAGAACGGCTATCACAACGTAGAGATATAGGTCGTGAGTGTGTCACCCCAAGAGACATTAAAAGACTTTTGAGCCGTTTTAATTGCGAAGTGATTGCCGCCATAGAACGATACTCAGCTTCTGTAGAAGAACGAGATAATGTATGTTGTTTCTTAGTTTTCCAGGACACTGGAGAGTTCCCAAAAAATATGATCCACCCTGTGAGAGAGCGTCGAGTGAGAGGACAACTCACCCAGTCGGAGTCGCACCAGCCAGTGAGCTGCAAATCAGAAGAAGCGGATAGTATAATACCCTGGCCTGGGGAACCCTTCAGGTATCGGATTACACGAAGAGCAGCTTGCCAATGTTCCTGCCGGGGTGCCTGCATAAACTGAGATAAAATGTGAACAGCATAAGCCAGATCCGGCCGGGTGAAAGAGAGATAAATGAGGCGGCCAACTAGCCGTCGGTATGACTCGGGGTTAGGAAGTAGGTCACCCGTAGCCAAGGCTAGCGAATGATTCTGTTCTATTGGAAAAGCCACCGGTTTGGCGATTAAATGAGATACGGATATCAAATGACAATTCAGTCCAGGAACAAAAAGAACATGGTCCAAAGTGAGCATTTTAGAGAGGAAAACTCGTCCTTCTAAAATGGCTGCAACAGTCCGCCCGTCCGGTAGCCCAACCGGACATGCATTAATCCGAGTACGCTGAGTAAGGCAGGATAAATCACCCGTGACGTGGTGAGACGCCCCGGTGTCAATAATCCATGGTAAAGAAGTATACGTACCCGACATGCGATCACATGAGCTAGGCTCAATGTGAATTAAATTCAAAAGAGCTTGAACCTGTTCTTTGGTTAAATCATTCAAACTGGACACATCACCGTTTCTGAAGGAGCTGCCCACTACCGAAGCTGCGAGAGATGAGGACACGGCATTAGTATGCACCCCCCCCCCCCTCCACGACCAGCAGCGGCGCCCTTAGTCCGATTCTTTTCTTCCCACCAGTCTGGGTATCCGTGTAGTTTAAAGCAATTTCCGATGTCATGGCCCTTCTTCTTGCAGTGAGAGCAGACGGACTTGGTGTTGTGGTCATCTCGTTCCTGCCGTCCCTGAGACATACGATCGCGTCCAGTATTGACGGCAAAAGCCTGGACATCTTCAATCGCAGGCTGCTTCCCACGTGCCACCGCACGGGAGTTCTCTTCCTGGACAAAAGCTTGGTGTGCGGCATTGAGATCAGGCAAAGGGTCACGAGACAACAAATTGGACCTCACTGTTCCGTACAAATCGTCGTCGATTCCAATCAGGAACTGGTGAAGGCGTTCTTCGTTACGATCTCTGGCAAATTTGTCAGCCCCTTTACATGTGCACATCCCGCACGAACAGGTATGCAGTGGTTTGAGTCTCTCCAGCTCATCGAACAGTCCCATCAACGTGGTGTAATACATGTCCACCGTCATGGATTTGGTCTGCCGGCAGCCTGTAATTGAAGCTCGAAGTTGCTGTATCCTTGGTCCGTTTGCCACGCTGTAACGGTTCTCCAAGTAAATCCAGAGCAACCTTGCTTCATCATGGAAAGGAGTGGAAGCCGCCATCACCGGGTCCATACTCCGCAACAGCCATGACACGATCATAGGGTTGACCGTGTCCCAATCAAGCAGTTCCTTCGCCGCAGTCGGTTTCTTCACAGAACCATCCACGAAGCCGAACTTCCGGCGTGCCTTCAAGGAGAGGGTTATTGCCCGAGACCAACCAACATAATTGTCTCCTTTAAAAACCACATGGGTAATGATATTACCCGGTTGATCGCCGGAGGCAAGGTAATAAGGTGAGGAGGAATCAACCATCGTGGAAAGAAAAAGGCTGCAGACGCGCTGGCGCTGCTACACCTTTGTCGGCCGAGGTCTTCCGCGAGGTGGTCTGCGCTACCCTATCGGATCGCACGGATCTGATACCATATCATTATTTAGGGAATATGATTAATTGTATTATTGCCTTCCTTCCATGTACAAGAGAGCTGCTATATATATACATGAGGCTAAGTCTAAATAAGAGCCCTTGGCCCAACTATGTACGTACAAATCTAACCAGTCTAAAGATTTAAATTACAAGCCCATATAATGTAATCTAATACAGAGCCAATAGCTTCTGTGTTGGTGATGTGTTTGAATAATTGGAATGGGAGAACTACGTGCATCTAGTCTCATCCTTCATTTCCAGGTCAGGGTAATCTTATTTCGGTCTAGGCTATTTCCCGAATGCTCACAGACTCTATTGTAGCTAGCCTTATTGATGCAGAGTCTGTTGATTGGGAAGTGGATTTAATTTCGGTTAAATTCTCAAGTGTTATTCTTGGTGTACACAAAATGTGTACACAAATTATACATTGTATGTGTACACAAATATTTTGACATCGAATGAATTGTCTGTGTAGACAGATAACTAGGAAGATGTCGTGTACAATTTGTATACTAATTATTACACCTAGTATATTTGAATTTCAATCTAATGCGGACCTATATCAGTTTCAAGTTTCAACACCCATCTAGTACTCTAGTACTTTGCCAAATGGTGGGGGTGGTCCGTAAGGTTTATATTGTAGCTTTTCCAAATACCGGGGGAAGCCTACTTCGGAATAGTCATAGGTTCTATTTATTGTGATATTATTATTGCACCTAAAAGTGGTACTTTTCATTGCACTCAAGCGTTCACCGGGAATGAAGATAGGAAAAAGATTTTTTTTGTACACGTTCTTATACACATCAGTACACCTCTGTGTCTGTGAGAGTTTTTTTGTCTATGAATCCCAATTGACAAAAAAAACTGGCTTGTTTTGTCTGTAGAATTTTCAACTGACGAAATAAGCCGGATTTTTCTGTGAACTGGGATTCACAGATAAAAAAACATCTCACAGACACGAAGGTGTACTGATGTGTATAAGAACGTCTACACCAAGAATTTTTGTGCTATTATCTCTGGTTGCTGGTCTTTACCAAGAAACTTTGATTCATTGTGCTTCCACTTTATTCATATATCAATGAATTTGTTGGCCCATACTTTAACCGAGGCAACTAGATTTTTTCAAAAGTATTACCGAAACAAAATTTGTTTATAAAAAATTGACTAATAGTTACTATTGTATAATCTCAATCACTTAAGTGTAAAAATTGAATATAAGTTACTATGACTAAGTTACTACTATAGTCACTATCTTTGCGAGGTCATACTATTATAAATAACATTTATTTTTGTAATTATTTTTATTATTTACTCCAATCAATGAAGGCAAGAGATGGGCTTAAACATTAAACTCCAACCAAATTTAAGAGTCCTTTTTCTTATTAAATAAAATAAAAACATGATGTCTTCTAATTTCTCCACCATTAAAATTGAGTCACATAAACTTTGAATTGTTTATAAAATATATTTTTCTTATCCAACTATTTTATTTATAATATACACATTATAAATGTTAGAAATAATTACATATCTATGATTAAAATAAAAAATATTTACAAAAATATGATTAGTGGCTATAATAGTAACTTAACCACAGTAGCTTCAAGTCCCTTCAACTTTAAAACTCAAGTGACCATAACATTATATTGTAGTAACTATTAATCATATTTGTGGAATAGTTGTCCGTTCCTTTTTGAGAGGTTCTCATGGATGAAATGTCATCCTTTATTAGTCATATTTATGTGAATAAGTTTTATTTTTGTAATATTTATGAAAAAACGTAAATGTTAGTTGTGATTTGCAGGCTCATGCGGAAACGCCTATGCAGCGCAAGATTGGCCATTTTCTGCGTCTGTTATTTGTTGCATTTGGAGTTGCTTTTAATCTCTTTTTAATAACTTTTATTACTCACCCACGTGAAAGTTTTCCTTCCGCAAGCATAATCATAGGACATATGGTTTTTGCGAATGTAGTCGGAGGGGCAATTCTGGTTTTACTATGGCTCGATCATAGCTAGTACGTAGTAGTGTAGTACTTAGAGAAGGTCAGCCATATGTAATATACTAGAGAAGTAGAGAGTATATTACCTTGTAATTATTATGAACTAGTCCTTGATTATAAATCTAATCATATTACGTATTAATTACATCCTTTTAAACCTTTTCAACATTCTTTTGCTAGTTGTCCTACAAGTTTAGCATTTCCCCTTTTTAGTAACCAATTTCTACTTCTTATTTTTCACACTTCTACACAAACTTCAATCAACTACGTACATAGTTTAATTTAGCGAGCTATTTCTTGTTTAAGGTCTGGCTCCGTGATGAAAACTACATACATATATAAGTGGAACAATTCCATGCCCGGGTTGAACTTAACAAACATATAAGGGACAGATTGCTAAGTTTTACTCTAATGTTGTTCGTATACAGCATTTGTACAAACAATTTGACTGACGTATAAAATTTCGTGTACAAATGTCGTTGATGGAGTATATGGCCCAGGAACCCCCGGCCCATAGACTCCCACTACTATAGCGAAGGCCCAATAGGCCCAGGAAGCACAGTAGACCCAAATCACAGCGCCCCAAGTGCCAAACAGCCCAGGACGAACACTGGGATGCCTTCGGCCCCTGGCCGAAGGCTCATAAACTTACAGTACAGCTGCTTTCAAGCACTTAAAGTGTCTGGGAGAAAAAGGCGAAAAACAGTAGCCCTCGGCACCTAGAGCCCTCGGCACCCAGAGGCCCCCGGGTTGAAGAGCTCTCGGCTAATCACATACAGCTGAAGGCACCTCTCTCGACAGAATCTCTCATCCACATGCGCTGGATCAACGTACCAACTACAATCGTCACATCCAACCACCGCATTTAATGCGGCCACATGCGAGTGCCAGTGCCACCCCGTTGAGGTGACCCCTCGACCACCGGAATGATGACACGTGTCCCTATCTGGCATTTATTGCTGATATAAATAGCACCCCTTTCCCCATTTGTAAAGCACGCTCAATACATTCTGAGCAATACATATTCTCTCTCTTACTTTTGCTCTGACTTCTCTCTACTCTCTTCCCGCAATAATCCCTCGGATAAACTACCCCCGGGTACGCTTATCCATCATTTGGTGCTCTCGTTGAGAGGTCGAACAATCAAGTAAGAAACCCTCCCCTTCAGCTAAAAACACCTACCAAAATGGGAAGAACCACCCGTGCTCAGTCCAAGAACCTTAAGGACAACAACCTGGCCCTCGGTGAAGTCAACGCCCCCGGAGCCTCTAACAAGGCTCCCGAGGGCGGGGTCATCACTGAATTGGAACAGGCTGCTATTGACCTACGCCTTCACCTCCAGCAAAACGCTCTTGATGCCCGCCTTGGCATCGAAACCCGAAGGAGGGACCGGAGCGAAAATCAAGTGAGCCCTCCGGTTCTCACTATCGACGTACAGTCGGCATTCTCTGCCTTCATCCAAACACTCACTCAAAACTCAGGTGCCTTCGGCACTCTAGTACCCCTTCAACCGCAAATCGGGGAAAACGCTGTCCTCCTCCCATGCCCACCCCCTTCGTGAACCCTACCCCTCGGGTGGGGAACGACGAAGGGGTCGTAGCTCAAGACACCACCTCCCAGGAAGTCCAATCCCGGGACCAACGCGGTGCAGACAAGGGAAGGACTCAGACCTCATCCCTCGAGAGGCTCGGAGGGGCGCAAGACCGCCGAGGGGTCCAAGACCGCCTCGGTGGAAAGGCGTCCCAAAGACCCCAAGAGAGCGGGGGATCCATCTCAAGGGCAGATGAGAGGCGTCCCCTTCAAAACAAAGGCAATGCACCACTCCATGTCGATGATGCAAGACATCAAATCAATCAGGCCCACTCGGCCCATGTTCGTTCGCAGGGGGGCGGAGGCCCTCCCGAAGGATCCCAGGTACGAGATCATTGCGGCCCTCCAATGTCGGCTTGACGAAATGGAGGCCACCGAAGCACACGCCACCACCTCGGCTTCTCATACAGATCTGAAGTATGAGGCCATGCTGGCCAAGGTGGAGGAGATACAGAAAAAGATGGCCGAGGGATCTGGGGAACCCACCATACAACTCCGGACCCGGACGCCATTTACACCGAGGGTATTGACGGCCCAGATCCTGGAGAAATACCGAGGGAAACTCATCAAGCCCTACGACGGGAAGACTGACCCCCAGGAGCACTACAGTAGATATCAGAACAACATGATGATGGTGGGGGCATTAGATGAATATCTGTGTTGCAAGTTCCTTTCCACGTTAGAGGGTGTAAGGAATAATTGTATTTAGATTTTGATGATGTTGTATTAATTAGGACTTTAGAGTACCCCTTTTAGAAATTATGTATTAGAATTTTCCTTTGTAAAGTTCTTAGCATAATCGACTACCAGAAGGCCTCTCTACCAGAAGACCTCCTGACAGAAGATTTTGGTTCTCTGTCAAGGAACAGAAAACCTCAGGGTCTCTATTACCCTTTAGTTTGACAGAAACCCTCTTGGTTCTCTGTAAGCTACTTTCAACAGAAGTGCTCAAGATCTTCTCTGATCAGTTCTCTGCCAAAGACACCAGAAGGTCTGACACTTGGAAGAAATCCACAAAGCCGGGAAATCAACTAAAAGATTCCTTCAACAGCTAGGAGTATGAAACGGAAAAGCTACAGTGCTCGCATTAAATGCTCATTTAATGCTCCCCATGCTCCGTGGAGTAATTGCAGATGATTGGCCGCAATGTCAGGATTACTTTATCCCAAAATAGTAACCCGCCAACTTTACCGGGTCCTACTGGTCAAGTCAACTGCTCGCGCATTAAATGCAGTTGTCCTCCTACTCCTCCAACGGGAAGACAACCTCAGTATAAAAGATACACTACGAAGAACAACCGGATAACTTTGCAACTTTTGCTACACGTTGCTACAACTCTTCATACAAGATATTAAAACTCTGAAAAGCAAAAAGCCTCCTTGAGATTCAAACTCATTATCTTCTACAAGAGAAGGCAGAAGTTGGAAAAATACTTTTTCCAACTCAAGCAAAGTTCCAAGTGTTCTTCAACTCTTCAAGCTCATCACATACAAATCTTTTGTAATGAAGCTAGTTGGAGGAACCCCAGTTTCAACAGAAACTCTTCTTGCTACAAGAAGGACGTCCAAGTAACTGGAGTAGTGAAGTGGTGATACTTTCAGGAAGCTCAGTGAAAGGACCAGTCTTAAAGGAAGCCAGGCAGTGCACCCCAGGAGACATCTAGACTTGAAGAAGACGTGGAGAGCTTCTTAAGTGCTAGGACTAAGGCTTTGTAAACGGAAGTTTTTACAGCTTAGTGGAACAGTGGACTAGAGGAACAAGTTGTTCCTTGAACCACTATAAAAATCTCTGGTGTCGTTTACTTACTGCTTTAATACTTGCACTTAGATAGAACTGTCTAACTCCTTGGATTTGGTATCTGTGTTCAGCAGAACTTGTTCTACGAGTTAACAGAAGGCCTACTGCCTTTGCTTCTCTGAGGCTAACAGAACTCCCTACCAGAACCCCATCCGCTGCTAGTCTGTTCTTTCAACATAACAGGCTATTCTGTAAATCTGGTACTTAGTTTAAAAAGCTAAAAACCAATACAGTCTATTCACCCCCCCCTCTAGACTGTATCCAGTATAACCGGGACCAACAGGTGGTATCAGAGCCTCCTTGTTCTAATAATCTCTTAGGTTATTTGTTGAACAAAGATCCACTTGTTTTTCTGTTTTACCTCATTTCTATCTGATATAATGGATCACTCCTTGTCCAAGAATCTTATGTTTTCAGATCTTAAGTTTGATGACTGGAGGATCCGGATGAAAGCACATCTCTGTGCCCTGCATGATGAGATGTGGGAAGTTCTAGACATTGGCCCCTTCACAAGCTTCCAGAAGGTCAATCCTGAGCATGCTATGGACAACACCAGACCCCAGATGATCAGTAAAGCCAAGTCAGAATGGACCACTGAAGAGAGAAGAAAGTACAACCTAGACAATATTGTTAAGGACATCCTCTACAAGTCCATTGATGATAGGTACTTCAACAGAATCAAGAAGTGCAAGACTGCTAAGGAAATCTGGGATACTCTTGAGCTCATTGGAGCTGGTGACGAGCAAGAGAAGGACAACAAACTAACCATAGCCAACAAGAAGTTTGATGACTTCAAACTTCTCCCTGGTGAAAGCATCTCCAAGATGTATGACAGGCTCCTCACTCTCACTGGAGAGATCTCTGAGCTTGGTAAGGAACTCACCACCAAGGAGATCAACCTGAAGGTGTTGAGGGGACTGCCCTCAGCATGGAAGATGAAGGTGGTTGCTGTCCAAGCCAGCAAGGATGTAAAGACTTATCCCACTGATAAGCTCATTTCAGATCTCAAAGCTCATGAGTTTGAAATGATTGAAGAGAAGGAAGATGTACCAGAAGAGAGGACCACTACAGCCCTCACTGCGAGCACATCTAAGGTAAATGATTTTGACCCTTCAGTACTTTTATCTGATGAATATATGGCTGCCTTTTCCAGGAGATTCAAAAAGTTTATGAAGAATCCCAAAGATGGAAGGAGTCCATCTTTCAACAGAAAGCCATACCAGAAGGTCAAAACAACAGAAAGCAGTGGAGAGCTTCTCTGTTACAATTGCAGACAACCTAGTCACTTCAAGGCTGATTGTCCCCATCCTAGAGTGTCCAAGAAGCAAGGACGGGATGGAGAAAAGAAGAAGTACGAGGACAACTCCAGAAGGAGAAAGGCACTTGTGACGGAACAGCTAGAGAAAGACCCTCTGTCAGAAACAGAATCCAGTTCTGACTCAGATTCTGATGAGGCCTTCTGTTGCCTTGATACTGAGACAGAAGACCTTTGCCTCATGGCTCATTCTGATGATGAGGTAACCTCTACTTCTGAGTCTAGTTTTTCTTCGGTAGGCTTAGCTTTTGATTCTGATTCAATGTCAGAATTTTGGGAAGAGTTTAAGGCCATACAAGCCACTTATTCTTATGTAACAGAAGAAAACAGTAAGTTGAAAGCTGAAATTCTTGACTTAAAGAAGGAGGTTGAGATCAAAATCAATCTTCTAATTAAGGAAAGAGATCAACTGAAGACTGAAAATGTTTCTCTTCTCAAGAGAATAAGAGAAATAGAG